GCAGCACGCTGAGTCATCTCTGCAGCTGTGACGGTATTGGGGCCGTGTTTGGCAGGAGACTGACGGGGCTGGAAGGGTGACTGGCCGTTTATGGAAGAAGAAGACGAACGTGCGGAAGCAACAGGCTGAAGCTGAGGTTGTGAAAGAGACCGATTCCTGTTTGGCTGGGCGGTGGTACCGTCATAAGTCCATTCGATAATTCGACCAAAATAATCCCGAGGACAAGTAGGCTGTTGATACACGACCCGAATGGTGTTGCCGTCCAGGTCGCGTACTGTTGCTCCTCTTGGGGTTTGACCGCCTTCAAAGCCTAAACGAGGTCTGGGGCTGGGGCCGCCAGGATAGATTGGGTCACCGTCAGTTTGAATACTCAGCCACGGATTCGCGGTGAAGGCGCAGTCGTGGAAGCCGATCACTGCATCAGTGGACGGTACCGCAAAGACCAGAGTCGAGAGCTTGACAGGCTCGAAAGGTCGAGAAACCTCGCGGATCTGCAGAACTGGCGTGCCACCTTTTTGGTCGTCACCACGTTTGCCTCCAGACTTGCCGGCTCCAGCTGGAATTCCGTAAGTAATAGTCCCAATGGACGAGTTCTGTTCGCGTGATTCGTTCAAGAAGCGCAGGCCGATGAGCTGAAGAGTTGCCGAGTAAAAAGATGAAGACTGTGCCAAATGTGACACCTCAACGAATGGTAGTGTCATGGTCTCTTATAGAGCTCTGAGTGCCAGGACTGTCCGATCGGCTGCCTGCGGTGAGGTACCCGCTCGGATGCCTTGGCCGAGATTGCTGGAGTCTTGGAGTATCTCCAAAGACTTTTGGAACTGAACGAATGCGTTGCTCGAGCGTTACTGGCTGAGCAATATGTAAGAGGAGGAGGGGGCTGGTGGGGAGACTGGAATATCGGTCAAGGCTGGCGGTGATGAGTAATAAAGAACCAGGAGTAGACGTAGAGTAGCAACCCCAAATGGTTGGAGAAAATTAAAACCGAAAAAATTAGAAACGACAGATTAGAAGGAGTAGGAGAAAAAAGAAAATCCACGAAGAAGAATGGTCCAGATAGATAGCGAGAAATACAGCGAGGCAAGCAAGAAATGTTGGCCGGGTGAGGTGGCGGAGTGGATGAGAGAAGGCGGTCGAGAATGAAATGGTAGGGATTCCGAGGCGACCCAAGGTAAGAAACAAGGCGTATCCGATTCGATGCTCCAAGATGAGTAACTGAGTGAGTGAGTGAGTTGTCCAGCTAAGGTAGTGCCGTGCGGAGGTCCAGAGAGGAATCGAATGGATCCGTACGGTACAGTAAGGCAGGGCAAGGCAAGGCAAAACAAGGCAAGGTGAGATGAGGTGAGGTGAGGTATTGTGAGTGGCCTAAGTCGAATGGTGAGTTGTCTGTTCCTTAGTGTAGTCGGTCAACTGCTGCTTGGACTGACACCTTTGACGCCTAACACAACAAGAAACAAGAGAGCAGAGTCAAAGATGAATGGCCAAGTCCAAGATGCGAGGTGGGTAAGAACACAGAAAAGATCGATTGGTACCCGAGACTGTGAATAATCCTCGTGGCTCCAGAAAGTCAAGGCACGACACGGCAGTGAGTAATAACAAGAGCCTGGAAAGCTGCGATGCAATTGCAAGGCCCTTGACCGAATGAGAATGAGTACCTAGACGAGGCAGGGGTGCGTGGATGGGTATTGCGTTTTATGTTTGTTCTGTTAATTGCTCAAGGCAATTGGAGCAATTGCTCTGAGAAACGGAGACTGGAGGCTCTAGAGGCTCTGTCTATAAAAGAGAAGAGGAGGATAGAGGCTCGGGGGGGAAGTCGAAAGAGGAAGAGAGAGAGAGAGACAGAGAGAAAGAGAGGAAAAGGAAGATGCAGCTAAAGAGAGAAGATCACCCGGATGGGATGCCCTGAGAAGGTGTCGTGAGGGTGGGCTCTACTTTGGAGGTACCCTACTGACGGGATTGACTGACTGGCTCAGTAAGGTACCTGGCCTGGCCTGGTCTGGTCTGTTTATTAGGGCCTGTCGACCACCCAAGGTAACTAACTGAATGTCTCTGCCCAGATGGATGGATGTTATGCTGATGCGTCCAGAAGGTGACCAGAGGCACGCACGCCCACTGTCTCAGCCAACCGCCAACCCAGCCCTCCCGCTGCGTCTCATAACATGGGAGCCAAAGGGCCCTGTCATGCACCTCTTGTGACTGTGGCTCTGTGGCTCTGTGACTCGCTGACATCTGACCCTCTCGTGCTCTTCCTGTATTTAGCTACCGTGGAAGTAGGTAGTCGCAAGTACCCATCCTAGGTACCTAGCCATCCCCTCTCTGTCGGGCGTGGGCAGGGCAGGGCATGGCATGGGTTCTGCATCACATCGCATCATAGTCTATCACGTTGGGTCGAATCACAGACACGATCAGGCCTGGGCAGATCCATAGCTAGCCCCCATCGTGGGCAGAGATATAGGACTTCGCATGCCGTGAGCTGCCATGGAAGTGCTCTGGAATTGTGAGGTGCACTGGGCTCGTGTATCTTTCAGTGGTACCTGAAGTGTTTGCTGGCGGTAATAGTTTCACTTCCATATCCTTAACCTTGCCTTGGCTGGACACATGGTGCGTCTCCCGTCTTGAGTTAGAAGCCGGCCCACTAGCCCCGCGCTATCCGGCAGCACCCGCTCATGATCACCCCTGAACCCTTCAAGCTCTGAACCCAAATTGGATATCCAGCTGTTGCTCTACTCAATATGGTTGCTGTCTAAGCACCTGAACAATTCAGAAAGATTCTCCGATTTGGGCGGGCGGTGGTAAAAAAAAAAAAAAAAAACATGACATCCCCCCCCTTAATGATATGCTGTGCTGTGCACATGCGGTGATAGCATCATGTGCCATCCTTGTAACGACTTGTCCTAACTTGGTACCTGCAGCTAGAAGGGTCAGTCAACCTAACATCCATCGTGCCACGAATGAATAGATGGTTGGGTGGGAAGCTATGGGCATTGGACAAAACATGGACAGCTCTACTACGGTAAACTCCTTTCATCAAGCCTTTTCACCACTCACTAATAAGTAAACCTAGCCCGGAATTCACTCACAAATGATAAACTACTTCCACATGAATTGTATACCATTAATTTCCATGCTTCGGTGACACTGTCTTGACCTCTCTTGTAGCCATGCAGCCGAGCTACTCCAAAACCGTTCTTCTGATACTCTCTTCCCCTCATTTTGGATGTATGTAGTCTGCCCCTCCCCTCAAACCCCTCCATGCCGTATGTACTGGTAGCTCTGCTCATCCATCATCCATCCATCTTTAATCATGACAGAGCAGAGCCCCCTGCACCAGATAATAACATCTGACTCCACTGTCCGCCATGGCTCGCTAGTTTGATTATTGCTATAATAAGGATGTGTGACACGCAATGCTCATAAAAGACATCTAGTGCGGGTTGTCGTGGTTATCCTCTCCACCATCGTCTTTTCTCTGTTCGATCATCGGAAAATAGCCCATGAGAATTGGTCCAATGACTTTCGGCCATCGATGCGTGACCACGTCAAGGCCAACGGCTGGACTCACGGCGTCCGGCTTGATCCACCGGACCTCCACCGGCATATCCACCCCCGGCCTGGACCGGCCAACCCCGGCCCTTCGGCTACCTTATCAAGCACCAGATATTGAATAGGATTAAGCCCTCTTTGTCTGGTTCTCGAATCTGACTTGACTTGGCTGGAGCAACCCAATATAATTCTTTTGTTAAATAGATATTGTTCCATTCCACTCAGGAAAAGAGGGCCGTTTTGTGGAATAAAATATCCCATGGCGAGGCAGAGAACAACACGTCTAAGGTATGTAATGACTTGTCGTGGTGTTGGCCAAAGGCCAGGCCCGATTCGAACCTGCGGCCGACCAACCCTCCTGGCCATGTTTACTGTAATTATTGTTCGCCTCCTCGACCTATCGTTCCTTTGTTCACTCCTCCGATGCACAAGGCTTCAGATCCGGTGTTTTACCCTTCAAATCGCGTGGGGGATATTTACACACTAAGGCAAGGTAAGGTAGGGTAGTAGGTAGTACATACTACAATGACCAATATCCCCATCTCATTTGCTTCTACGTGACTACCTACTTCAATCACTGTGGGAATCGTGCTGGCGTATCGCACCTATTAAAGGTGTCCTCATCCATCATTCGTAGTCCTGTCACTCCATGCTTCCCATTCTTTCTCCCAAGCCAGAATAGCTCTGGGCACACAAGACCTACTTAAAGTGCGGGGTGATTTGGTGCTACACCAGCCCTTTTTGGTTTGTTGCACATTCGCGGTTGCGGCGGATTAGCTTCACTTGGTGGCCTCAGCCCGAACGCTAGTCGTGTCTTTGGTTTCAGATATTGATTCCTGGTGTTTTGAGATACACACGCAAATCTGTTGGCTACCTGCACAATAGTTCACATATCCGCATCCTACTTATGATATAAATATTGTCTTTTCTTTGACTGTCTGGCGTCTTGTCTGTCCATCCATGGCGAATAACGTATTGAGGAGCGGCACGAACCATGGCGGGATTGGCCCGTTGTGGTAACCCCATTATCCTCAAAGAACTCGAATCTTTCTCAAAATGCCTTGCCGTGGCTTTCCCACCAAGAAGCGTCGATTGATTAGACCAGCAAGCCCAAACAAATCTATAAGTAGATTCCATCCAAACTTAACCTTGGCCAAACAGCCATCAAGAACTGGGGGTAAAATAGAACAGACCCGCTGAGTGACAGTAGAAAAGAACAAATAGGAAAGTATGGGTCAGGTTGAAATGACCCATCAAGACGACATTCACGTCTCGGACCCGATGTTGAACGCCCCATGTTTTGGTTGCAAAAACAAGCGACAGCGAACACCCCAGGCATTCCAAGTTACAACCGAACCGTCTCAACCCCAACGACGATGTTGTATCGTCGTAGGGCGAGCCGGCACTTGGTTTCCATCGCAGCTTCGGCCCCTTGCCGACTTGATCGACGACGGGTCTTACATAATGTCCCAGACATCTTCAGCAGCGTGGCAGAACTTGCTGCAAGCAACACTAGCAGACAGAGAGTAGTTGCTGATGGAGATCTTCTCGTCAACAAGCGCATCGGCGAAGTTATCCTCACCCTTGGCCATAGCGCCAACGAAGACACAGATGCTGTCCTTGGAATCCACGGTTTCAACATACTCACGAACCTTGACAAGTGGCGCATCGAAACTCAGAGTAACCTTGCGGCAATTGGGAGGCAAGTGGTCAGTGATGGGGTTCTGGATCACCCGGAGCAGCTTCTCGTTAGAGTTGGTGGAGCGGATGGACAGACGGTGTAAGAGTTGCACCATCAGACCGGCAAATCGCTTGAATGTTCGCGGAATGCGGACTGAGGGCGAGACCTCGATCAAGACACCCTTGGCAGTATGGATGTAGATCTGGAGCTTGCCGGCCTTGTTGATGGGCGAATCCAGAAGGGTCAGTAAACACTAAGAGAAATGGTCAGCATGTTGAATGCCGACTCAGAAGATCAGAGTTGAAACCTGATGGGTGATGTCGGGACGAGCATCACTAATGTCCCGATTCATCTTGCGCATGACACCGATGTGCTCATCGCTGTTGAGCAGAGAGTACTTGTCCTCACGGTTGCGGCTGGTGCCTCCGTGAGAAGCCTTGTACGTCTCAAGACTGGCATTGGACAGGACGACGATCAGACGCTGAGAGTCCTTGTCTGTGGGAGGGATGGGAGTGCTCTGCTCGGCAACCAACTGAGGAAGCGAGGGGGGAGGGAGGGATTGTGTGCCTATATTTTCCGACATGTCAATGACGACCCTGTAGGATTTGCAGGTCGAGTTCGTGGTTGGCTCTTACGAGGTCGCTTGACTCCAGCAGTTCGACGCTCGGGCGAAGACATGATGGAGGAGAAGAGAGAGGAGGGCGAGACAGGCAGAGAAAAAGGTAAGTGGGGGAGTTGAGCTTGGATGTTGGTTACTCAAGAGTGTCTCGAAACAGTCACAGACAGACAAGACAGACAGTATGAATTGGTAGATACTGGAACAGTGAAATACCGATACAATACGATTGTGTGATTGTATGCGATTGTTGTCGATTGAAATGAAGTTTGTCGCGTGCAGGTCAAGGTGAAAGAAAAGGAAGAGTAAAAAAATAGCCTCTGAGGAAGAAGAAAAAAAGCGGCGCTCGCAATAAACAAGGTGCTAACTATGAATATTGAACCCTGAGGCCAAGCCATATTCTGATGGAAGGTAGCGGCCCCCACATCTCGCCGAAGCTCACGCACTGTCAGCGGGTCCCGGATGCCGAATGGGCAGAAACATGCGGGTTCGGAGTATTTCGAAGGATGAAGTCGTTGTATGATGATCAGTAATTCCCTCAAAAAGACGTTGTCATACTATTCGATATCGTCTCGCTCAACGCCTAGAGAGACGACCAATAAACACATTGACTTGTTCACCCTCGTCTAGCATTGCGGTTAAATGAGTTCTCGCTTAGAAGTTGCAGATATCGTCGAGTCGTGTGAGGCCCTATCCAGCCAATCGGCGGGGTCTATATCGTAGAGCACTTACATAATCTCTCTCACACCTCTACCGCTCCTCATTGGCTACCAAATTTTAGAGAGCCTCTGCGAGTTGGAGGACATCGAACAATTGACCGTGACAAGCAACTGGTAAACCAACAACACTTCAGGCCTGCTAGACAAGCGAGTTAACACTCAATTGGACAGAAGGGACACATTCGACATGTCTTCCCCCGTAGCAAAGGCTGCGCGCCGTGTGACACACGAGCTTCATGGTGTTGTCGTCTCTGCTGGCCTAATGGACAAGACTGTCAAGGTCCGAGTTGGCGGTCAAAAATGGAACAAGATCGTCAACAAGGTAAGAGAACTCCCAGGTGCACTTCATAGCATAAATAACACAGGCTAACATGAATATCTAGTGGTTTGCCGACCCTAAGCACTATCTCGTCCACGATCCCAACTCATCACTCCGAACCGGCGATGTCGTTTCCATTGTCCCTGGATGGCCAACTTCCCAGCACAAGCGTCACGTTATCAAGCGCATTATTGCGCCCTATGGAACGCCCACCGCGGAGCGCCCTCCTGTGCCTACGTTGGGGCAAAGGATAGCGGATTACGAGGCCAAGAAGGCCAAAAAGGATGAGCGAAGGGCGGCGAGAAGGCAAGAAGAGGAGAACCAGAGGCTCGAAGAGAAGCGTTTGGAAAATGAAAAGAAGGAGGCCAAACGCAAAGCATGGGAGGAAGCTCAGCAGAAGCGTAAACCTCAGACCTCGGCAAGCGACGTCGATTAAACTAATTCAACCTTGATATTACGACACATGACTGCAACTCTCCAGGTGATGAGATGGAAATGGACAATGCGGGAAACCTGCTTTTTGGGACAAGGCAACAGGAACAGAGGGTTTGAACGGGTAGGCTCTGTACGATATCATGTGGTGGGGGGATCCTAACAACAGACAAGGGGTTCTTAAACCAACTGTACTATTTGTAACATATAAAAGACATACTAGACATTCAGCCCGTTTACAACTCCTCTACCCGTAGCCCAGTGTGTCGGACTGGGGTTGTGCTATCCATGAAGCCCCTGCGCTTATAATGTACCTGTGCCCTTTTGTTACATGTTGTATACCAGAATAATTGCAGTCTATCTATCCTCCCCTTTCTCCAAACTCTGTCGCCCAGTCTTCGTACTCTTTTAGACCAGCTTTACTTACACTCGGCCTTATGGTCGTCAAACTCGCCTCGAAATCGGACAATTGAATTGGCCGGATCTCATCCATGGTCATGTGTAATAGTGCCTCTCCAAGGGATCGCAATGGTCCCATGGCTGCATCCTTGGCCAAGGCCGTAATGTCTGAACCTGAAAAGCCTGTAATCACAAATCAGTTGGGTTTGCATGAAGGTATGTCAGAAAAAGAACTACCCACCATCTGTCAATTCCACCAACTTGAGGATATCATCATTAGACAAGTCGTGTTTCTGCTGGCCCAGAAGGGTCCTGAGCTGTGTCTCGCGAGTGGTCGGTTCAGGTAACGGGATGTACTGTCGTCGCACAAAACGTCTTCGAGCCGCCTCGTCAATTGCCCAGGGGAGGTTCGTCGCCGCTAACACAAGGACTCGGTTGGCATCCCCCCTTTCCTTGTCTTTCTCGGTCGCTTCTCTTCCAGCAGCAGCACGCTGAAGATCGCTCCACTGAATAAGAAACTCTGTCTTGATCCTCATCGTGGCTTCGTGCTCTCCAGACCCTGATCTCTGTGAAAGTAGCGAGTCGATCTCGTCCACAAAGATAATACTGGGTGCCAGTGTCCGGGCCAATCCAAAAAGAGCTCGAACGAGCTTTTCTGACTCGCCCAGGTATTTGCTTGTCAGGCTGCTTGCTGAAATTGAAAAGAATGTTGACTTGGACTCTGTTGCCACAGCCCGCGCGAGCATAGTCTTTCCTGTTCCTGGCGGTCCAAATAGGAGCATTCCTCTGGCTGGTTCTCGGAGGCCCATGAAAAGATCGGGCCGTAAAAATGGATAAACAACAGTCTCTCGAAGTGCGTTCTTTGCAATTTCAAGACCAGCCACATCACTCCAATGAACTTCGTCACCTTGAACGACAATATCGTTCAATATTTGCTTCGCGGCAGCTGCATCAACACCAGCGGGCAGGTTCTTCAAAATTTGCTTCTTCTTGTTTTTCCATTCACTCATTTCGTCAGGAGACTTTTCCAAAGTCTCCGATTCAGACGCTTCGGAACCATCCTCTTGGGAATCAGCTTCTATAGGAGCCTCTTTCTCCTTCACTCGACGTGGTCTGGAACTTGTCCCATTCGTGTCGTCGTCAGAGGCGCTTGAGGTGGAGACTTGCCGAGCCTTACGTTCAGGACGCCTTGACCTATCTCTGCTCTCAGCATGCGGCCTCGAGGGTTTCAAAGATCTTCCGGGCTGTCTCGCTGCTGGACTACGAGTTGGTAAGTTGTTTGACACACTTCTCCTCTCTGATGCTTCTCCAGAATCGTCGCCGGTCTCAGTATCGTTGGCTCGCTCTTGCCTCGATACCTTGCGTGGCGACGGTGAAGCGAATCCGTTGCGCGAGTTGGGCAGTCGATCGATTCGATTTGTGTAAGCATCTGATGGAGGTAAATCTTGATACGAAGACGAATTTAGAGCACTGGAAGCAGCAGTGACCGACAGCATGGATGGACGGGCATAACAGTACTCATCAGAGTGTCGTGTATTTCCTGAAGGTTCTCCATCAAGATCGCGGTCTTTTGGCACAACCAAACGTCTCGAGTGGCTGTCCCATTGCGTTGGTACTGGTCTGCGAATCTGATCCAAGGAAGTGCGAGAGCTAGAGCTCGCTGTTGCTGGAGTGGACTCCGACTGGGTCCCCCTCGAGAATCTTTCCCTTGAACTGAGCGCGCTCCATGCCAAAGTCGCTGCTTTGCTTGATCCTTCGGCGAGTGGCTTTGCTGGCTTTCGTGGCTTGGTGGACTTTTCTCCTAATTTACCGGAACGTAAAGTCGTCCTCATGGTGTGCTTTTCTGGACTTGGTGTCCGTAAAGTCTTGTTCGGTCTCGGTGGTAGGGCTGGTCCTCCAGGCGATGCAGATCGAGAGACCGACGGGAACGCCATGTTTGGATCTAGATGGGTGCTGGGTCCATCCACGATAGCAAGTTCTGATGACGTACGTCGAGGCTGTGATGGACGGTGTGGAATGGTTGGTCGTGATAGCTCAGAATACTGCATGGCGGTGATTGTGCCCTGTCCAAGGGAACCTCGTCCCTCGGGCATACTTGGTCGCTTTGTCAACTTGCCGGCTGGTGGTTGCGTGGTGGTCGTCTCTTCTTGCCGTGAGATCCTGAGAGCTTCCAGGAGATCGATTCGTTCTTTACATTGTAATTCCAGCTGTTTCAGTGCCTCTTGTAAGGCTTTCTCGGTGTCTGTACGTGGGCCATATGCGGGGGGTGCCCGATTTGCGTTGTAATCATAGATCTGATCCAGGGCAGCTCGCCAATGTCGCATGGCTTCTATCTCATTACCCTAAAACCCAAGTCAGAGATTAGTAGATAATTGAGGAAGCGAAATAACTAAAACTTACCTGGCCTTCATAGTAGATAGCAGTTGAGCAACTTAGATAACTATCATCGTAGGTCTTCTGCAAAACAGCCAGGGCCCTGTTTCGTAACATGGCTCCCACTGCAAACCACTACCATAGTAACCCAGAGACTGGCTTGAGTTGCGCCCTAGCCCGCCGACCGTGAAAGACTGCCGCTGTGTTGACTGTTATGTGTTTGGCGAGCAGAGCAGATTGTGGCAGGTTGTTTAGGTGGGGACGCGTTTGGGCTGAGGAATCGAATTGATGAGCCAATGCCTTGGTATAGCAGGGTCGCGCACGTTGTGGTGTTTGGTATGATTGAACATAAGACGTGATCGAGTCAAAGTCGATGGTATAAGGCACTGTCTCTGCTGATGATAGTCAAGCGTGATCAAGTTGATCGACCTGCATGCCTGACATGGATTAGCAGGTTAAACTTAGGCAGGCGGTGACGTAGTCAAGGATCGCACCGCCCGCCCTAGTCGCAATAGATGGTGGCGGGGTAGACAATGAGCCTCATGCCTACCTACCTACTACATACTACCTTACCTACTAATGAGCTACCTTATGATAAGGCAGAGCGCTCAACAACTGCTGTGGAAACATCCAGTGTAAGGCCAATCGTCTATTTGTGATTCAGCCGTTTGGCAAATAATCAACCTGAGAGAGTACGCGAGTTATTAGGCACTGTTATAATTTTGCACTTCTGCTCAGTTGTATTTCTAGCTTCTCCACATCTTACTCCTGACTCTCATCTATATCGCCCCTTTTATCTATGAAAGCAACACACGAATCTCGGCGGTTGTTCTAGGGAAAACCGACCGCAGACCTTCGTCCTCTTCTGAATCAACAGATTCATCACCCCCCTCAGTTATAACCTCTTCAAGCTGTTCAAAGTCATTGCAGAACTGTTCTGCTGCCTCCTCCGTAATTTGTCGAGCTAACTTCGAATCCTGCAGATGCTTCAAATTATCCATGGCGTCCATGAGTGCTGATGGCAGAAAGTCATCCAATGTCTGGCTTGCTTGAGCGAGCTCTTTCTCATCCAACAATTGAGCGTTCTTGTCGTCATCCTCCTCCAGCTTCGTGAAAATTGCGTCCAACCCTGACTCCTTTCGAAGGAATTGGTATTGACTTGTTATTAGTCTTTTAGCTGCATCATCTGACTTCGCTCGCAGTCGTTTAGTCCGACGTTGTGTGAATTCGAACGGCTCTAGACATGCTATCGCAGAAGATATACAATTAATCAGGAAGATCGCACCGTTCTGGGCATTCATGTTCTTAGCCATGTTTTCACAACCCGACATGAATGGTTCAAAGGCTTCTGAAAGCACATTCTCGAACTCGCTCTCGCGATCCTCCGAGGTCGATAGAGAGGAGTCGTAAGTTTTGCTGATGGCCTTGAGTTGTTTGAGCGAATCCTGTAAAAATGCAGGTGGGCCAAGGTCTAATGGAGCGTGCTGGAATTCTCCCTGTAGAGTTGCAATGTGATCTCTGACAAGTGCTCGGAACTGGCGCAAGGCCTCTGTTTCCAGGCCTCCAATCAACTCTACCAAATTAGAGTTGGGACCGAGCGTTTTTTGGAAAGTGATCCGGTAAAAGTTGATCAGATTTGCGAGTTTATAGGCGGGTATGGTGTCTTCGTTGGCTTGGATCACCTGCTCCATCCTTTGGCGAAGCACGTGGGCCGCTCCAGAGATGTCGCGGTCGACTAGGTCGTTCAGTGCCTTAAGCGCATTAAAGTCAGCCTCGGCCTCATCGTCCTCTGCAATTAGGCGCCAGATCTCTGCGTCTCGGCCAGATTTGAAACCCTTGGCAAGTTCCTCCCCCTCTGCGACAAACAAAACCTCCAATGCCTCACGTTCACTGACAGTGGCTGAATGAATCCAAGCCAGCATGTCACCCACGTAGCGTAGCGGATCATGTGCCAGCATGTCGATGGGCTTGACAGAGGCATCTTCTGTACCAGAGGGCGAGGTACCTGTCAAAGCGACATAGAAGGAGTCTGAAAGGATTCGTTCTCGAGCCTCGGAGAAGAAGTCGAGGCAGTTTTGGAACAGTGACGGCCTTTCGGCAAGAACTCGCAATGCCCGGCGAATTGATGAGTTCATCTGTGGATTTTCGAGATTCAATGTCTTGAACTCTCGCTGTATCCATTTGTAAAGCTTTTGGAAACCAAGATTGATGTTCTTCGACGTCTGCTCCATCAGTTCCAGACCCAGAGTCTGTTTCTCGAACCCAAGGAGTATCTCGCAATCCTTGCTGATCTTTTTCGCTTTGCTTAAGGCATCGAAGAAGCGGTCATCTACTGGCTCGGCTGTTTGAGTAAATGCGGCAACCTCATTCTCCGACATGACAAAATGTTTCTTGAAGGCACCGAGCAGCTCTTGCTTCACCTCAACCTGTCTCTTTTGCTCCAAGAGAGAGGATGCCTCGGAGAGTGCTGGCAATGTCTGCCTATGAGCTTCGACAACTTGGGTTTTCATGTCCTCATAACCATTGTTAAGCTTGTCAATGGTCGTTTTGATACGCCGAAGTTGCTATTGCCATGTTGGTACGGTTTCCTGTAAAACAAATGCTTGAACCCACCTCTGCAACCCGCCCAAATTCGGCAATAACTTCTCCATTACTGTCAATGACTTCCTTCTGTAGGTCTAATCGAACACGTCGACGAGTTTCGGCATCGTTTTGGATCCCACGTTCATCAAGAAGAGCGAGAGCGTCTCGAAACTCTGTATCAGAATGAGTCGTCGAAAGGACACTGGTCACTTTGGATGTAAGTGGAGTGATCCCTCTTGGTGTTGAGGGAGTTTGTGGATAGCCATCTGGAGCAAGGAGTCCTGAAACTGAGGCGTCTCTCATAGGCAGGCTCTTCAATGACAATGAGCGATCTGTAGGTGCCATGTTGCAGTAAAACAGCAGTAACACTGCTCAGTCGAATTGTTGCCGCCGGCAAACTTTAACTTATTCCGCGCAGGTCCATGAACCGACCGAGCTCGATGGAGCAACAGAGTAAACCTGACAATTTGGAATCTAAAACCAACAGCGACCACGAGCGATCCCTATACAGATACTCCGTATAAGACAAGGGCAATCATGTAGGTGGGAGTGTGCCAGGTGTCGTAAAGGGTGCATGGAAGAGGAAGGCGGTGTGTAGCCATTCATTGGGTCTTATCGGTATTTGTCTGGCAGAATCGCACACCGCTCTGTAGCGTCATACCAGCGGCTGGTGATGCCTGGAGCATTAAACTGTCTGTCTAGGTATCATTAACCTGCAAGTGATTTATTCACTTTTGTTTCAGGTCAGGGCGCATGGTTTCCTTGTGATATCCAACTCCCATTTGATTAGACTCTGTCACACCGGACCGTTCCCTTGCTTGGAGTAGGTAGGCATGTGCCTTGGGTCACGCTTATCGTGATCAACGTCCCCTCGTGACCTTGGGTTACCTATCCTCCATATTTCATTATCATTTAACGAATAAAGTTACGTTCGCCGTAATTCCTGGATCACCCAGTTCAACAAAGTTCAAGTCCAAATATTTCATCATCAAGGTGGAAGGAAGCAACCCTTGCTCGTGTCCCATTTACGGCAAGACAACGAACGACCCAGCATCAACATCATCAATCGCCTTCGAACCGCCTCGACCCCAAACCAACATGCCCGCCTATCTTTACGCTTGATTCATCGAAAGAAATCGATATGTCCTCAAAGTTATTTTCCCGATCGAAATTCCCCGCAAGAGGGTCACGGTCGTTTTATGAACAGCTACGTTCTGGAGATGATGACGAATACGATCCCGGCATCGATGAAGAGAACCTTGGTCATCAATTTGATGACGATTTTCATCCCGAAGGACTCGATATTGGCGATAGCCGCATGACAATAGAAAGTGCAGCTCTGAACCCAAAGGGCAAAGGAAGGGCTAAGACACTAAGGAAGCAGGCGCAAAGTCCCGGTGGACCCTCGCCGAGATGGCACCAGCAGGACGACGACGGTGACAACGAGGTGCCGGCATCGTTACTCATGGAGCCAAACGAAGTAGTCAACTTACCCCCAACATCGCCCAGACGAGCAGCCCCATCCAACAATCCTCAAAGGCCAGAAGCTGCAGGCCCATCATCAGCACAGGCTAGGGCGCAGTGGGAAGCAGCCACAGCTCAGCAACAACTTCATCAAGAGAATAGGTATGGGGGGCCCGCTGGACCACAACCCATGCCCGTGGCTAGGGGCTCGATAGCAAGTAATCCGAGGGAGAAAGCACTCTGGCGATGGGTTAACACCTCAAATCTAGACAGCTTTATGCGGGATGTTTACGACTATTATGAAGGTGGGGGACTGTGGTGCATTCTGTGTGCTAACGCTCTCTGGCTCTTGTAAGTATTCCGTCACCAAGGTGCGAAACATGAGTGGCTAATCGGTGCTTCAGGGAGACACTTTTCGTCGCGGTGTTGCTCACCTTCCTTTGTCAATGCATTGACTATTCAAAGATTCCACACAGCAAATCCTTACATGAGGTTGTAGTTCCCCAATGTACGCGCAAAATGTCGGGTCTCTGGAACCTGGCGATTTGGCTTTACACCTTCTTCTTCATTTGGAAGTGTGTACAATACTTTGTGGAGATTCGCCGCCTCCTCTACATCAGAGACTTCTATATTTACTTGCTGGACATTCCGGAACAAGACATGCAAACTGTTTCGTGGCAGGATATTGTGGTTCGTATCATGGCGCTGCGTGAACAGAACCCGAAGACTGCAACAAACATCACACCGAAACTGAGACAGTTTATTGGCAGCCAGTCGAAAGAACGGCTTGATGCACACGATATTGCTAATCGACTCATGCGCAAAGAGAATTACCTTATTGCGATGATCAACAAGGATGTCCTGAACTTGTCTTTGCCAGTTCCGTTTCTTCGCGGCCGCCAGCTATTTTCCAAGACAATGGAATGGTATCTTCATTACTGCATCCTTGATATGGCCTTCAACGAGTTGGGCCAAGTTCAGCAGGACTTTTTGCGCCCAGATCGCAGACGTCTCTTGAGCCAGAAACTGAAGCAGCGGTTGATGTTCGCGGGGTTTCTAAATCTTATCTTCGCGCCTGTTGTGCTTGCCTACGTTATCATTGTTTACTTCTTCACTTATTATTATGTCAGTACTTTAGCCTATGCACTCTGTTCTTTGAAAGCTAATTCCGTTACAGGAGTACACAAAGGATCCCAAGCAAGCTGCAGCGCGCAAGTACACTTCTCTAGCAGAATGGAAATTCCGCGAATTCAACGAACTGCCACATATATTCTACGAAAGGCTGCACATGTCTTATCCATTCGCCACTCGGTATATCGATCAGTTCCCCAAGAGGATGACTGAAGATATTGCGCGAACCATCGCCTTCATGACAGGTGCAATTACTGCCATTCTCGCTGTAGGCTCTATTCTTGACTCGGAGCTTTTTATTAACTTCGAGATCACGAAAGACAGACCAGTCCTATTCTATCTCGGAATTTTTGGTGCCATTTGGGCCATCACCCGAGGAATGGTGTCTGAAGAGACATTGGTGTTCAATCCCGAATATGCCTTGATGAATGTGATTGAGTACACACACTACATGCCCGATCACTGGAAGAATAAGCTCCACAGCTTCGAGGTTAAACAGGAATTTGCAGAGCTTTACAAGATGAAAGTGGTCATTTTCCTTGAGGAGGTGATGGGCATAGTGACGACGCCTATGTTGCTCTTGTTTTCACTGCCCAAGTGTAGTGACCAGATCGTCGATTTCTTCCGCGAATTCACAATCCACGTTGACGGACTCGGCTATGTCTGCTCCTTTGCGGTATTCGACTTTCAGAAAGGACCAGGAAATACGGGCCATCAGGGGCAACGGCCGGATGTTCGTGAGGACTACTACTCAACGAAGCACAACAAGATGGCCGCATCCTACTTTGGGTTCCTTGACAACTACGTTACAAACCCCAAGACTGGCATTCCCGGTCATACACCGTTTGGAGGAAAACCGGCCTTTCACCCACCTCCAGCTTTCCCAGGGCTTGCCTCTCCATCATTAGGAGCAGACATGCAGGGTTCTCATATTGGTCGCGCGGAAACGGGACGTGCCAGAAGTAGAGCCCCCGGTGGGCGAGGTCCACGTACGGGACCAATGCCACAGCCCTCCCCAATGGCGTCTATCCTGTTGGATCAACATCATCAACCTGCTGGGGTGAACATGGGTGCACGTAGTCTTCATTGGTCAAGGTATCCGCGAGGATTCCGCGGGGAAAGCCAAATAACTGAAGAAGCTGAAGATAGCGCCATGAGGCGAACTGGGGAAGATGACGAACTGTACGAGCCAGCGGGTGAACTAGGTGAATCGACCTGGGAAACGTCCCCCGCAAAAGGGGTGACACGGGAGAACAGTGCTGCCAATACAGACGATCCTGGTGAAGGGGTACTGGGTATGATATACCAGCTTCAGCAAACGCAGCGATCCCGGCGCGGTGGGGGCATGGTCTGATATAGAACATCTCTCGGGGGGTTTCATTCATTTATTTATCTTCCCATTTTGGGTGAACCACATGGCGTCAAGGCGAATACTGGAAGTTATCTCCCCGAAATACCCTTGTCCTTGGAAAACGGAGGTGGATTTTACTGGCGCTTTGCATAGATTGGGTTTTGTTTATTGCGACTATCTGTCTTGTGACTGGCAGTGAAGGATTTGGCATCGGAGCGTCGGTCAGTGTACTTGGGTTGGGTGGCAGGAGCAGACTCTTGGGTACCTATAAATGAATAAGTCCACTACCTAACTACCTATATTTAGAGAAAAACATTGTACCCATTATCGAGCTCTTGGAAACTGTACAAACTGGGTTGCTAGGTACTCTCAGGTTTACACGGCAGGCAAACGAATTCCAACGAGAAGATCGGGGTTGGGGCGATAAATCCGAGGCCGTGACATGTGTCTCGGAATAACGACGAGTCGTAATTAATGATACTACCGAGGCCGTTTGTACAAACAAACAAAACACAGTCAGTGGGAAGTTTCTTGCACGGAGACTACATAACGTTACGGTAGGTAGCAAAGATTTAGAAGAGGGTGTGAGGTTGACAATATTAAAAATGAGCTTATTCGGACGAGTTGCAAATACAAATAAGCGATATCTTTCAGGTATCTGTCTGATAAGCCAGAGTCAAACAAAGACCATTCATTAATCAATGTTGCAACACGAATTCATCAATCTTGAGTGACTTGGTCCCTCTAAACCTCCACTGCTTGGCTGACGACCATTTTCTAGACGAGATTTTTTGCCGTGGAAGTCCAACTTAGGTAGCAGATAGTGAGTCTATCCAGTTTGAGGACGAGCTTGAGGACTGATTGATTAGAGAGAGAGAATTGGGTCCCCGAACTGATTGATAACCTAATTCCAATGTGTGAGACCCCCTGTCATGCCCTGGGCTGCAACCAGGCTCATGATTCGGTGAAAGATGAGATTCGACTGCTGCATGTCTACAGGTCTGGGCATGAGTGAATATTCAAACTGTTCAAATATCTCCTTCGATATACAAGTGTAACCTCAACTATGAGTGCTAAGTTAATAGCAAGCCTGATTAACGTCGCCTTCCATGCTAATGTGAGCTTCCAAACTCCCTACGCTTCCCCTTGCCTGAACATTCAAAGCACTTGACATGCTTCTTGTCGAATGGAGAACTAGATATGAATGTATGGATACACCGCGTGGTCACGATGCCTCATCCATGGATATTACCTTAGTCATGGGCTAGGTTGTGGAGTTAATCCAGTCCAGCAACTCACTCACTGACTTGGCCTCAGATCTACAAAGTTAGTAGTAAATGAATGAATGTATGAAGGATGAAATAAGAAGGGAATATCACTCTCTAGGTATCAATATAATTATTCCTCTGCCTCATGTTCCCGTAAGATATTTATATTTCTCGCAACGGCATGCTGTTAACCTCGGCAGCTATTCGTGTGTATAGTATGTGTAAGCTAAAGACCGATATGTACTGATATTGATCTTGATTCCAAACCCGACAAGACGGTTACAGGGATTATGATATGATGTGAAGTGACGCTGACCCGCTCTGCAAACAAGCAAATTGGCCAGTTTACGTACAGAGATGAGCATTTACCCATGCACTACTCCGTAAGTCTAGTGCAGATAGATGGATGGCCTTTCTACTGTATGACCCAACCTGCCACGCCTTTCTTGGGCGCCAATGCGCGCTGAGTCGAGAGACAATCAAATGTAGGTACGAATATATTAGTAGGTACAAACAGAATACTATTGGTAAACATGTCCGGCCTCAATTTGCAGCAAGGCCAGCATACATGGGTAACTACAGTACTTGAAGATAAATTTGTGATATTAGGGCCAAGTCCACCACCATATGACAATTATTTATACCTACCTAGGTACCTTGGTCTCTCATAATAACTGCTCCGGCGATAGGTACCTTAGATAAACTGATAATGGATACGACTGCACTTCCGCGGGCATATAATAAGCGCAACAGGAGATGGCGGAGAAATGGACAACACCATGGAAGTACAAGTACCTCGTCTCACAATTTAGCAATGGAAAATACCTCGCTGTTTGCTAACTTCACCTTAGTCCATTGTTATCTGAGCCGACGCGCCGAGCTCCCTGAACGACGCTAGTTCAAACGACAGATGGAGGCCCTAGTCTACCTAGAGGAGGGGGGAGGGGAAAAAGAGAAGACGTATATGCAGACAGAGACAGAGGTAGCTTTGCAGCAATAATTTGACGAAAGGGTACTTGCCGTAGCTCCCGTCCGGACTCCGAGGCCGTAAACGGAGCTGTCTCATCCCCAGAGGGGAAAAAAAAAAAAAAAAAATCTAGGCAGCCCAGAGGGTACTGTAGCTCCAGAGCCTACAAAGACTTAACCTGGCCTGGAGTTTTTCCCGCGCTGTCCAATTCAGACTAATAAGGCAAGGTAGAAGAATACCTAGTAGAACACCACTACCACTACCACCACCACCACCAGCCTCCATCTGAACTACCTACCTGCCTACTTTTTTGCTCCATCGCCTCCGCTCGGCTTTGGACTTCTTTCTTGCATTTCTTAGTTACAAGTACTTCAACTGCCGGCGACAAGACTCATCCTTCATTGATCGGTGTATTCGAATAGACCGAGGCGAATCAAGAACACGGCTCGGACATAGCAACCACTTTGCACGGTCTTTTCAGCTCCAGCAAGTCGAGGCCATATTTTTCGCCCCGAACTTAGTACCTAGGGCCTTATCTCAACTTCAACATCGTCATCGTTTTAGCGACCATCCTCCGGCGCAACTCCAACTCCATATCTTGAGCCTCCTGCAGTCCCCGTACACGACATAGCCGACTCCATCCACGGCACAGATCGCTCGCCGTCACTTTTATAGCAGTAATTGCCCCGATACCTCCTCCAGTCGCCAACCTGGCGGCCCTCGAGACCAAGCCTTTCGGCGGAGCATCGGAAGCTGTGGCCGCCATGGCCCAGCCAAGTGCAGAGCCAGTCGAAGAATACGAGTGAGCACAACTCAGCACCCTCATCAAGATGGTCATGTACACCTCAGGGCCTCGAAATTGACTGTTTCTCCCACAGCTATGAATCTCTCCCGCCCAACTTCTCCCTCCTGCAGAACATGGCAGCAGGCGCCTTTGCCGGCATAGCAGTATGAATCCCTCGCCTCGGACAAGCAATACAAAGTTATACCAGGCTAATTTTGCGTCTTCCTACAGGAGCACACTGCCATGTATCCCATTGATGCAATCAAGGTATGCTCATGCCCTGCATTCTTTCTATGGCTGCTTGCTTGCTTCGCTTCGCTTTGCCCATCTCGAGTCTGACACAATTCTTAGACCAGAATGCAAATCCTCAACCCCAGCACCACACCAGCCTACTCGGGCGTCATTCGTAATACCGTTCAGATTGCCCGCACTGAGGGATTCTTCAGCTTATGGCGCGGCATGTCCAGTGTCATAGTTGGAGCTGGTAAGTCAACCACGTCATGGACAGACCTATTAACCGTTGCTAAAACTGCTTAGGTCCTGCGCACGCCGTCTACTTTGCAACATACGAAGCAGTCAAACATGCCATGGGCGGTAACCAGGCCGGTGTACACCATCCCCTCGCTGCTGGTAAATATACAATTTCTGCCCAGTTTCCGATCTGACAGCCACTGACTAAATTTCTGCAGCCACCAGCGGTGCCGCTGCGACTATTGCTAGCGACGCGTTCATGAACCCTTTCGATGGTACGCCCCCTACGCCCCAACCTTTCGAGCACCCAGAATACGGTCGCTGACAACCCTGTACAGTCATCAAGCAGCGCATGCAGATTCAAAATTCGAGCAAAATGTACCGATCCATGCTGGACTGCGCCAAGTATGTCTACAAGTCCGAGGGCTTGGGCGCTTTCTACATCTCGTACCCCACGACACTGTCCATGACAGTCCCCTTCACAGCTCTACAGTTCCTCGCATACGAGTCTATTTCAACCGCCATGAATCCCGCAAAGAACTACGACCCCTTGACACATTGTTTGGCCGGTGCCGTTGCTGGTGGTTTTGCTGCTGGTCTTACCACACCCATGGATGTCATCAAGACTATGCTCCAGACCCGGGGAACCTCCACTGACCCCGAAGTGAGAAGTGTCAACAGTTTTATCGGAGGCTGCCGCCTATTATATCAGAGAGCCGGTGTCAAAGGCTTCTTCAAGGGTGTGCGACCTCGCATTGTTACCACGATGCCCAGCACAGCTATCTGCTGGTCGGCATATGAGTTCTCAAAGTATGTGACATGGCTGAATCAAACTGATAACTGAAACTAATGCTTAAATCTAACCAGGTCCTATTTCATCAAACGCAACGATGCTGCTTGAGCATCACATCTAAGTCTTGGAATGCTTGGATGACCAGACCTCAACTCTGCATAAATTTGCAACCATATTCGACACCCCGCGATTATCTTCATGAGAGATGGATTTGGGAGCGAGGGCGCTTTAGAGAGCATGGCTATAGGACTGAGACGGCTACAACGACAACATCCGAAATACCCTTGAACAAAAACCTTTTGATTCGACGCTTCCCCGATTCGGTTCGAGCCCTTTATACCGAGGACCTCTACCGACTTTGCATCTGACCACGACCTCTCCAAGGACGACGGCTGAGTGAAGATCGAGGCAAGCGACGGATCGTGTACATAAAGAAATATCATCACTTTTACGAACGAAAAAATCGGAGAGCGGCGACATGGATGGGAAACGGATGAGTTATTGCTAGTGTTGATTCACGCAGTTAGACAGCGGAAGAGTGTTATGATAGGTTGTCTGTTATTACTTATGTCAAAATACTAAGCGAATATGCTTTGGCATTATACAATTTCCAACCGGGCTTGATTCACACATTATCTTGGATCTAGTACAAGCTGCGACTATCCGGATTGGCGCAATGGGTTTTTGTCTGTTCCTCAAGGTGGCAATGCGTGTGTCCATTGCGATGTCGCTGTGCCGCCGACGTCGGCGGTGGGTGATATTGTACCGAGGCCGAGCAACGACACACGCTTCATCGGCGTACTAAAAACTAGACAAATAGATAGATTGACATGTTGATGTGGCTTGGATACTGTACTTGCGGTATAAAGATAGAATTCTCAAGGTATGCGATCTCACTATATACTGTTCTTGACGAAAGTGAGCGATCTGCGGAAACTCCGACGCCATTAACCCCTATACTCCTGTTGGAGAGAGAGAGCCCCGCCCTTGTTGATCTCTAGACAAAGATGTAGATACCAGCAAAGACTCCCTCCCGATCAAGCAAAACTGCCTCTGTAGTTGACCCCTTCGCTATCTAACTCCTCAGTAGTATCTTTTGCAAAACTTCAAAATCTGTCGTGTGCTTCCTAGAATCCAAATGGTTGACCACCGAACTGGAACTTGATATTGGGACCGCCACCGCCACCGCCTTGCTGGAACATGAATGGATGACCACCACCACCACCGAAGGGGTTGCCCTGTCCCTGGAAAGGGTTTGGTCTCTCTTGAGAGTTAGGATCATCGCCACGGTCGAAACGGGCACGTAATTCGGGGTCACTAAGAACTTCATATGCCTCGTTGATGCTGGCCATCTTCTTCTCGGCCTCTTCCTTGGGGATACCTTGTTTGGCGGCCTTGTCAGGGTGGAAGATCTTTGATTGCTTGCGGTAAGCGGACTTGATTTGGCGCTCGTCGGCGTCGTTCTCGACACCAAGTACCTTGTAGTAGTCCTTGGTCTTGCTGCGCTTGAGGGCAATGTGAGCCTTGTTGAGGATTGGGTTAACCTTCTCCTTCAAATCGGGGCGGATCTCGGCGGCCTTCTCGAGGGTAGCAATGGCGGCGTCGTAAAGCTCACTCTTGAGTTGAGCCTTACCCTTGTGAAGAAGACCCCAGAAAGAGTCAGGGTTGAGTTGTAGCGACTCGTCACAGTACTTGGCGGCCTCTTTGTGGGTTGACTATGGCAGAGTTAGTGATATGCAGGGATTGTACGAGGCCGAAGAACTCACTTCGGTGTATGCTTGACAAGTCATCTCGATCAAATTCTCCAAAAGTTGGATACGGGCGGTCTTGGGGATGCTCTTGTTCTTCTTAAGCTCCTCCACCTGGTTTCGGACATCAGGCACCAAGCCAGAATCATCGGCAGTACCGACCAAAGCCCTGCCCGCCGTGGTGGGCTGTCCTCGGCTTAGTTGTCCCTGGATCTTCTTGTATGCTTTTTCAACCTTCTTCTCCTGCTTGTGCAACTTCTTGCAGATCTTGGAATCAGGATCTGACTGAAGACACTTCTTGACTTGTCCAATACCGTTCTCCAGGTCACCCAAAGCGTAAAACGAAGTCGCCGAAATAACCATGTGGGGAGAAGTGTCACCGGGCTTCATGTGAAGGACATGTTGCAAATCGCTGAGAGCGAGTTCGACATCGCCGAGCTCGAAGCGACAGTGCGCTCGGAGTTCACGCAGATGAGGAGATCGACTGGCGACAACGATTGCAGTACCGGCGTGGCTGACACACTCTTCCCACTTCCCGCCCTTGCTAGCCATGTCAGCTAGATGAGCTGCCAGCTTGGCCTCTTCCAACTCGACAAACTCAGCCGACTTGGGAGCCTTTCCAGCAAGGCCGTACTGGGCCTTTGCGGCATCCCAGTCTCCAGCCTTGGCACGAAGCCTGGCGAGTTGAAGATGGGCTCCCTCAAAGCCAGGCTTAAGGGACAGGACTTTGTTGAAATCGTCAGTTGCCTGCGAGGTTCGGCCGAGTGAGAGATATGCGGTGGCCCGCTTGAAGAGGGAAAGGTAGTTCGTCGGGTCGCGGGCGATGGCAGCATCGTAGTACACGAGGGCTTCACTGGTCTCGCCACGGGACAGATGCGACTGCGCCTTTGTCAAGAGGTTCGCAACAGGGAGATCAGCCGGGATATCTTGCGGCGAAAGGGCACTGGCAGTTGCGAGAAAGGCCGTAGCGGCCACTGCCAGACCAGCAAGATTGAGATGCATCCTGATTAAGTTTGTTCGAGTCCAACCAAGTACACTATGATAGGTCGAGGGGCAAATCGCAGGCGATATATATCGATTGAAGGGTGCTAATGGTAATGCATCGATTTCAATAGGTGCAATAGTTGACGACGAGTACACGATGACAACGATGGCGAAGTCTGCTCGAGTATAGAGGAATTGGAACAAAGAAAGAAAAGAAAGAATTGAGAGTTCTAGCGATTGACAAGGGGACAAAAAGGACAACTCTACAAGTACTTGTTGAAAGAAGCCAACAACCGGAAAAGGCGACACCTCTCAACTTAGCCGGGAAAGTTAACTTCTGTCAGCCAGGTACATGGATCAGTCTCGAATGTCATAGGTGGCCACAAGTACTTGTCTACCAATCCAGCCGGGCCCCCCCAAAAGTCCCGTCGGGCTCGAGTCTACGACTCTAGCATGTTCTGGCTGCAGGAATTAGCGGCGGGCACTATAACTTAGTACACTCAGGGACCGAATCATTTCTGCCACTGCAGTTGCAGGGGTTCCCGCCTCCAAATCTATCAATTGACGGGAACCACAGGCACGGGCTGCAGCTAGAGCCTAGACCCAGGTTGTTCTGTGGCGTCACTGTCTCGACCGCCAAAGATTGATTGTTTTGTTTAGGTTGTTGATGCACCTCAAACTTGGAGACTTTCACACCAAACCCGCTCCTTGATTCAAGACAGAGAGAGACATTCATTCACCTGCTCTCTCACGCACGCACGCACGCACGCACTCAATCAATCATGGCGCATCATCGTCTCCTCAGCCAAGATTCGGCCATTTTCTCTCCCTCAGTTGCTCGTATCGCCGCTTCCACCGCCCGCGACTGGTCCTATATCGACGCCTGGCTCTCCTCTAAATTCCACCCTCGACCAGTCCCGTCTTTCGAGCGCAACAACGACACTCTCAAAGCCCTATTAGCTCTCGCCTCTGTCAACGAAGCTGCCGACGATGAGCGCAACCTGGTAGCTAAGTCCGAAGCGGCTGCTTTGCAGGAGCTCACCGACTCGGAGAGGAAGATCGACAAAACCAGCCGGCCACTGAGGGAAGGCCTCATTGAAGCCGTAGAACACAACTTGCCTACCGATGGCCACACCGCTCTTGATGCCATGGCCAATATGGCTCTCCAATTCGGAGTCGCCTTCCCAGAACCCGACACACTAGGCCAGCGCATGTGCCAACTTCAAGCAAGCATTCACGATGCTGAACAGATGAAGGCCCGCGTCGAGGTTCTCCATAAACATATCGACGACGAGGCAGCTCGAATAAAGGAACTTCTCAAAGAGCTACAGAGAGACGACTACCAGCCTCCAGCGCATTTGGCCAAACAGAACCTCGACATGCAGCGCAAGGTCAAGGCATTGTCCGCCAAGCTACCTGAGCTTCAAGACAAGGTTGCTGCTCTGGCTGCATCCGCCGACTCATCGCACCCAACCATTGCCGACCTTGCTCGTGACGAACAAGAATACTTGTCAGTGTTATCACGAAAGAAGGAGCTCGACGTCCAGCTGGCCACCTTTCAAGGACTTCCTAGCAATCCAGATGTGGCCAGGGCTGAACTCGAAGAGCTTCGAGATCAATTACGTTCTGTAGAATCGCAGCGTGATGCTGTCTTTGAAGGCTTAGTGGAACGTGAAAGTCCTGTCAAGCGACGACGCTGAGCTTGTTTTATTTAATCCTTGGCCCGATACTATACATTAATGAACCTTGAACGCTGTCAACTCCACTTCCACATCAAGTCGACACACCAGGCAAATAACGCTCTATACCTATCTATATAACCAAACTGGAATCAGTCGCTATGGGTTTCGCCGCCCTTTACCTGCCACAGCGCCACCCAACCTTCCAAACTGTCTTCCCAACCCGATTCTTTTGGCCGGCACTGGAGGAGCGGGTGCTGGCTCTTTCTGGGGAATCGTTTGCAAGCCGACACCCCGTGTCTCCTTGCCTTTGACGTCTACCGCTCCATCGCCAATGCGGAGTTCACTGACCCCCATTGATGGTATTTCGTCACCGTCCATGTTGTTCTGACGCTGCGCGCGTCTAGCTCGTTCCTGCACACTTCGGAACTTTTCAAGGAGCTCAACCCATCGTATGTTCCCATCTTCCCTGCTCTTGAGTCGATTGGGTCTGTCAAAATTGGAGCTGCTTGTAGCTGGAGGAGCCCTGCCCATAGGTTAGCTTACCACAAAAGCTAGTACATGCAGCTTGGAGTTCAGAGCTAAGCAACCCTTGCCCAACACGCCCACTGTAAAGCAATCTTCAACTTACGTTCGAGGTGCTGCATGTAGATAGCCTATAGAGCTGACGCTATTGAGTCTGTTCTTCAGCGCAGCAAATGCCGAGGACTGCGGTAGAAGCATGAGGATACCATACATGCACTTGTATAAGTATGGGTACTTCTCAGGTTCCAGTAGCTGTAGTCGTAAGTCTGGATGGGTTGTTAGTTCGTGTACGACAAGCGGATGACGGGCACTACGCTTACAAGTAAAGACGGGTGACTCAATAAGCTGTACGAGCTTGTCTACTTGAATGAGCATGTTGACTGTCATGTCCAATTCGCCGCTGAAGCGTGTCAGTTCAAGTAGCATATTCTATTACGCCTGGGCTTACAAGATCTGCAGCAAGTTATAAGCTTGCTCGTAGGCTTGGGCGAGCAAGCAAAGCGAGAAGGTAGCGACAGCATTATAGCACCACGATCGGAACAATGCCACGAATAGCGTTTGACCGTCCTTGAAGTTGTCAGTATTCTTGTCTTGAATTACAGCCTGGGAGGCGTTCCCCTACCTTTGTTTCAAGGTTTCGTAATCTTTTTCGAACGTCTGCTAGCTGTGGAGCAGTAATCAGGTTGTTGTTGAGGTTCTGCACCATTATGCTTGCGAATTCGACATCTTCCTCTTTCTCGATGCAGTCTGCCAGTGTCCTGTAAATCCTCTCCGGGCTCAAGCTTAAACATAGTTGCCGAATAATGAGATTTCCTCGAGTTTCAAGCAGCTTTCGATCTGTTGAGAAAAGTTGTAAGAGATTGACCATGAAATTTGCAAAGTAGTCGTCCTCTGTATTCCTTGAGATTTGTGAGAGAAGTTGAAGATCCTTGGTAACTACGGCGTCTGAGGGATCGGATAATGTCTTGAGCAATGCTGGGAACGTGCCATCGTTGAAAGCGAGGACCTTTCGGGGAGCTTTCCTGTGTAGCATAATAAGCCACGTCAAGGCCGCCACCCGGGTCGCTTCGTGATCGTTGAGGAAGAGGAGAGTCAGAGAGTTGACGGCGGCAGCGTAGTCCAGATCGGCTTGTGTCTGCGTAATGTTGATATCAGCGGGAGTCGATATCGAGCGGCCTTGAGCAGGCGTAGGACTGCGGAGATCAAGGTCTCTGGAGCTTGATAGGGATGCTCTGTTGCTGTTGCTGTTGTTGCCCTCAGGCCCCTTTTCTCCAGGAACTTGCAGTCGAGAGGTTGAGAGGTATTGAGGCGGCTGAGCAGGAGGCGGCGGTTGACTCAACTCCGAGTCGTCAGAGAGCGAAACGACATAGTCCATCAGGCATGTGTTGACCCGGGTTGCTGCTTGATGGATGGTCTCTTTGGTGCTGGCCATAGCTGGAAGCATATGGGCGAGGATCTTGGGCGTGAAGGGAAGGACTTCTTCGGGGCAAATATCTAGAAACTCAACAACCCATCTTAGTGACTCGAGGAGACAATCCTCCTCTTACGCCATGTTAGCCGTCGTCCAAAGAACTTGAAGGATAACAAACCTAGCGGAGAATCGAGCGTGGCAGTAAGTATCTGAAGAATCTCCTTGTAGTTTATCTCGACATCTTGTCCGGGAATCCAATCCTCTCCACTATCGTCATCGTCATCGAGTGCGGCGTCTGAGTCGAGCTCATCTCCTTCCTCAAAGTCAGGGTTTATCGATTCGCTATCGATCGAATCTTGTCGTTTCCGCTTGGCACCTTCTTTAGAACGTTTGCTTTCCAAGATGCCCTTCTTTATACGCGCAATACGCTTGATCTCGTTCAAAAACTTATCCAAGCAGGTTTGTGTGGCAACCCTCACGTCCGAATTCTGGTCAGATAGGAACTTGAGAAGACCTCCAAGGAAGTCCGGGAGATATGTGACAAGCTCCAGGTCGGGGATAGAATCGAGTAACGTGATCCATCCCACGAGGAACTGCCGAGTGAAAGGATTAATGACCCAAATGCGCTCTTTCAAAAGTGGGATAAATCGAGGTAGGGAGAACGCTGTTGGCAAGTGAGAGTTCTCGCCTAGCGACACTTTATCATCGCCGTCGAACTCCGGCGGTGTCTCGAGAATAGAGACATATGAAGCAGCAGACTCAGATACAATATCTTTTACGAGTCGATCCAGCAGTTCCGCTCCGTTTTTGACTGACAGCTCCGAGTCCGCCCCAAGCTGGAAGCCAAGCATATTAGTATGGTTGACTTATCAAATATGAAGTCCGGAGGGGAGAACATACCTTGCAAAGCTGATCAAAGATACTATTAAAATACACCAATATTTCTCCCTTTGCAACCTTGGCTATATTGTACATGGCCTCGCAAGCATAATACCTTACTCTTGCATCTTGGTCGGTGAAACATGCTAGGACAGGGGGGACAATCTTGGCGAGATATCTGGGTAGTTCCTGGTTTGTAAGTTAGATGTAGGCTCTTGGGGAAGACTGAGGGACTTGATCTCTTCTGAGAAGGCATCCTGTATTGAAACAGGGAGATGCCGTAGATTAAAACGTACCGGACCAAGCGCAATAGCGGCGGCGGCGAGGCCTATTAAACCACCATTTCTAGCATGAGGCTGATGCACAGCGTACGCATAGTCATTACACAGCTGCTCCAGAATATCATGAACTCGCTGATAGTCCTTGACACTGACGAGATCTCTAATTACACGTTCAAGCCTGAGGTATGAAAGTCAGCATTTGCATTTATGAAGCTTGAAAGCAATGGTAGTAAGTCATCGGACCGAGGTGTGACGTCTTGGCGAAGGTGAAAGCAGAGAGCTATCAAGAATATAGCTGGGAATATACTGGATATCTGTGGTGGGAAGTGAGACATACTCGAGAGCCCCGATCTTGCGTTTGTCGTAGAGCTTATCATTAAGGGCACGTTGGATGTTGGCATCCATAGCTGTAGCTCATTCACATCGTCCGCTAGGCGCGACGAGATAGCGGTAGGTAGATAGGTAGGTAGGTAGCTTGCTTGCTTGCTTGCTTGCTGGCTGGCTCACTCAGTGGAGAAGGATAGGTAGGGGTGACAGATTATCTAATGATGACAGAATAAGAACGAACGAGAGTCCCTCTGAAGTGGTAAAGAAAAGTAAGGTAAGGTAGAGCTTGGTTTAAGCTTGGAGCTGTTGTCGTAGGTAGGAATTAAGTTACAAAGTGGTTGGCTCGTTTGAGATGGAGCAGGGAATCTTGCTTCCATCCACGCACTGTATGGTAACCTGGACAGGGAAGGAGTTAGCCCCACGAGTCTCGACTTTTGGGGGACGTCCACCTCACATTTTAGGACTTTGTACTCCGTGCTCGTGATCTGACGTACGGACGGACGCCTTTGGACGCGTCTACTTTTGTGTTTCAATTCTGTTGAACCTTGAGATTGAGTTTCATTTGTTTGTTGATTATAGAAAAGTAGAAGAGTACCTGCCTAAGGTACTTGCTATTAACCGTCGACTCTACCTTATCTGCTGCCTGCATGAACGAGGCTTGCGCCAACTCTACCATATCCCAAAGCAATATATATCTACTGTGTTAATTCCCATACCATCATCGGTGTCAATAACAAGTCCATTCTAGAGCATGCATAATCATATCAACCCGAATAGAGATCGGAATGTCTTTCTCATGAAATATGCACGCGTCCACGAATCAAACGCCTCAAGGCTTCATGCTTTCTGCCCCTCATCATGACCCCTCGTGCGACAAATCGACGTCACTCAACTACCACCACTAGGCCCATGTGATGGGCGGCAAGCCCGGTTCTTCATCTGCCCAATGCCAACCTTAAAGCCTCAAAGGAACTCCTTCGGCGAGGCTAAGGGCACACTTCATCACCACCTAGACTACGGCTTACAGCTCCCCATGTGACCGAGGCCTACTGAGGTTGATCAGAGGCCCCAAACCTGTGATGCCCAAACAATTTCTTTTGTCTGGAGGGGCCAGACGTTACTCCAATATCTAAATCAACCAGTTCAATTCCCCAGATGGCCCAGCAAGAAATTCGATGCTCGCGGGTTGTACTATCCGTCGTACACGCAAGGCACTTGTTGTTAAGCATCCAGACCCAAGTCTCACAACTTTATGAGCTTCTAGACCAAGACTTGCCCACACACTGTCCTGTAGAGAGCAGAGCTTGCTTCCAAACTAGGTAGTCAACAATTACACTTTGTGGTAGTGATACATCTTAATGTCTTAGACAATATCACGATTGTCGACGAGAAGAGAAAGTGAGACAGAACTATTCATAAATTCATCATTACACCTCGCAAACGATCTAGCATGACAGTTCCCGTCGGTCTAATCTAAGCAAAACTTTTGATGACTTTGCAAGCAGAAACTAGCATAAATATATACAGCAAAATGCCAGTCTGTCGGCCGTGTTTCGTCTAATGGTGATGGCCTGAAAGGTCACCGTTCTGAATCGCCTGCTGGCACTTAGCAAGGATCGCCGCCTGTCGAGAAACCTCTGCCAGCCTTCCAATAACCTGCTGGTTGCCGTTGGAGAACCCATACAACGCATAAGGGATGTTGACCTCATCACAGAACTCCTGGACGAGCTTCTGTGTTGCGCGCAGATTATGGCGCGGTACGCGAGGGAAGAGATGGTGAATAACCTGGAACTGAAGTCCACCATGGAAGAAGTCAAGCCACTCAGGACAATCAATGTCCATAGTGGTTCGGAGCTGCCTCTGTGGGAACGACTCCTGAGGTCCCAGCTCAACTGTGCTCATTGCAAAGTGAGACAAGACAATCTGAACATGAAGAGGCGAGGCGGTGATGTTGCTGATCATGACAAAGTAGAATCGGGTCCAATTGTCAGGGAGAAGGTTGTAAACCAGACCATACCCGAACCAGGTCCAAAAGAAAACCTGTCCAATGATCTCAAGCCACCAGATAACCAAGCCAGGTCCTTTCTTTGGACCTCGGCCCATAATGAGGTGGTCCCACGAGAGTCGGTAGAGATTGAAACGAGCCAGTGCAAGTAGTGGGTAGTAAGTCCAGGCCTGAACTCTAAGCAGAACCTTTGCCACAGCATCATAGGTCATGACTCTCTCGTAGTATGTTGATCTCAAGCTGCCTAGGAGACGGTGGGAAACGGCAAAGAGAGGCATGTGCTCAATATCAGGGTCGTGCTCCGGCGCATTGGTAACAACGTGGTGCACGTTGTGATTGCGCTTCCACCATCCTATCGACAAACCTCCCATGAAGTCGGCGATCAGGGCTCCGATGCAAGAATCAACGAGGTAGCTATGGGTGATGCCCATATGCCCAGCATCGTGGACTGTGAATGAGAGCTGATGCCAGAGGGCACCCAGAAGAAAGGCGCTCAGAGCGTACCATTCGTGGTGGAGGCAGAAAACTGAACCGACCGCCAATGCAGTGTATCGAATGAATTCAATTCCATAGGCCTTGTAGTTGCAGTTGTAAAGCCCTGTGTCGTAGACCTTCTGGTGGAGCTCGCGATATTTGGCAACGATCTTGGCTTGTGTTTCCTTGTCGGGAGGAGGGTACTTGTCGAGGTCAAGGCTGATATGTTCGCGAGTAATGGTATCAAGATACGACATGCCATCAAGATCTGGCTCTTCTACGCTAGAAGCAGATGATATCGAGGGCGCGCGAGCTCCGTCCTTCTTGTTGGTCCTTCGCTGTCTTACTCCGGCGGCCTCTTCCTCGTCGAAGACCGGTGATGGGACACGGGTTGACGGAGCGCTCGAGTCTTGGTCCTTGTGGGATTCTCCGTGGGCGTTAGCTCGTTCGATTTCTTCGTGTGCACGGTAAACCCCTCCCTGGATAGGCGGCAGGAAGTTTTCCCAAGTTCCCTCGATTCGACCGATGCGATAGCGCAGGACTTTCTGGCGTGTCTCAAAACAGTGTAGACTATTCATCAGATTAGCATTGGCCTTGTAGACACTGGATTGGTTTGTAGCCTACGCATCAATTTCATCAGAGGCATCCTTGCCCACCATGTGAAGCATAGCCTTATCACCTCCGGGGTGATAGGGCATCCAAGCATCCATCTTGATGACTTGGTTATGGAATATAGCAACATGCTTGCCTTCAGCGATCAAGGCTTCAATCTCGTCTCTGGTCATAAGCTTTGGTATCTTCTCGGGCGCATTACCTGCCAGAGGCGGCAGGCCTGTAACGACAGCGCTGTGGGCCATGGTGAAGTACAGATTGAAACAGAGGCGAGAATACCTCTGACAACAAAACCGCTAGAAAGAAAGTGGAGGACTCTGCTGCACCAAACGACAGAACAGTCCAGGGCTGGATGTCTCCAAGCGAGGGATGAATGGGGGAGTACAAGATTTAAATGTGTAAGTTAAAAAGGGGCCGGTTCAAGCTTGCTGTCGAATCATATGCAGCTCAATTCACCGCATCTTATCAATTCCTTCAGCGAAGTGCGTGCCATATCCTAGCACCGGCAGTGGTGGAGCGGCGCAGCTGGTAGCACACCTCACTTCTAACAAAGTGGCCCGATCTCTCCGCTGTAACGGAGGGGCTCAGGTGGAATTGGGGATAGACAGGTAATGATTTACCCCGCCACCAGTTGGAAGGCCGCCTTCAAGGTTGTCAACATTGACTTACAAGCTTCCATCTCGTAACATTCGTAGGCCCCTGATTTCAGCCTCCATCGCTGCATACGCAAGTGTATGTTCCTGATTCTAGGCACCAAAATTAGTTACAGGCAGCGGCGACTCCATCGAAACACAGGCTACCTAGATAGGATCTCCAACCTGGTGGGGATATGCAGGCCATGGATCACCAATGCCATCCATGTTGCTTTTGATCAGTGACAACGATTGACATCCGTATTTCCGCTATTGTAATTCTTCGGGTTCCTCAGACCCCGTATTCACCGATTGGTGAGCTCGGATGCTTTGCATTCCCCATCACTCACAACAGCGTAAGCCGATTGAGGCTTCACTGCCAGCTTCAACTCGAAAAGAGACGAAGGCAATAATAGGGTTTTAGGAATGTCAACGACCTATGTTCATATCCCTAGCCAGATCCCTAGCCGGTTCCTGGTCGAGAATGAACTGATCTGGTGTATCCTCACAAGAAACTTTCGACTTGAACAACCTTGTAAACATCCACCGTTGCAAACGGGTTCGGGTCTAGGGTCTCTCGATGGCCCTGTGTGAGTTGAAAGTATTCAACATGCTTTCTCGAATTCGTATTCGACTAACTAACTAATAGGTTCGGGAAAATATGAATAATATCTGAATGTCTGATTCGAGCGGTGGTCTCACCCATCTATCTCTTACACAGTTTTTGGATACTTTGATCTAAAGCTTGCCCTGACTAAGTTTGTACAACAATTTTTTGTAAAAGAGTCAATGGTTTGGCCAGTCAAGATGAAAGATAGACTTTAAGTTATTCATCATAGAATTTGTATTCTTCTTTCACGCAGTGCAAATAATCTTGGAACGCAAGCAACGCATCCTGCCGTGTGATTTCCAGGCATCATGCTGAACAGACAGAATTATTACTAATTTACACAACCCAGAGTCCCAAATGCCCCGGGTTCTATCCCGTTTGCACTATCCTGGCGATGCCTCCTCTTGGCCCTGTGTCATCTTTTTCATTATGTTCCTCAAGCATTGCTTAGAAGTGAATGGCCTTGGCGTGAGTGGCCATGGCAGCCTCCTTAAAGGCCTCGGCAAGTGTGGGGTGAGCGTGGCAGGTTCGGGCAATGTCCTCACTGGAAGCACCATATTCGAGAGCCAGAGTACCCTCAGCGATCATCTCACCAGCGTTGGGGCCGATGATGTGGACACCGAGAATGCGGTCAGTCTCGGGGTCAGCGAGCATCTTGACCATACCCTCAGTGTCCTGGTTGGTCTTGGCTCGGGAGTTGGCAACGAAGGGGAAGGTTCCGACTCGGTAAGGGATGTTCTGGTTC